TGTGCCATGTTGCGCCGGGTCTCGAGCGCAGAGTTCAAATCGCGGCGCGCAAGCGTCAACCAACCGCGCGTCGAAAAACCCCATAGGAGTGCGCCTCGGCGGCTCGCGGCGATCGCGCCGATGCGAAGTGGACAACCGCTCCAGGCACCTTGTCAATGTGTCAGAGCATTATTCATCCTCGCCGAAGCGCCGCCTGAGATCTGCCACTCGCCTGCGCTTGCACGAAGTGCTTCCCCGAAGAAATCGCAATGGGCAGCGTGGCAGCGTGCAAGTCAGCGGGCGCGGCGCTGCACTGCACTCCAGCGCAATCGATACAACAAAGAAGGGATAACAAACAACAGGAGCCTAATTCGCGAAACCCACCCGCGAAATCAACCTGGCTTGAAACAAGAAGGCGAGGCCAGAGGATTGGGGGGATGATGCGGCAGAGCGTCCACCGATGAGCGGGGGGTGCGTTCGTTCGATGCGCAACGCGCGGCCTGCGGGGGTCGGGGGGGGGGGGGGGCGATCAGCAGGGGCCCAGAACTCGGCTTGAGAATCCCTGGGCCCCGACCGCGCAGCGTCCTCAGACGTGCATATCCGCGAGGTTCAGGGTGGCACCCTCCTCCCCGCTGAGGCGCGACCATTGGCGCAGCGCGGCCTTCGTCCATGCCACTTGCAAATGTTCGGGGCGCTCGCACTTCGCGGGCGCCGTCGTGATGCGCGGCCTTGCCGACTCTGCGGTGGTGCCAGTCTTGGTCGAAACCCAGCGTCTTCGGAAATCTCTCGTGAATGGGCTACCTCGACCACAACAGTGGACCGGCGCTAGACAACTTGGAAAATGCCACTGCACATCGAAGGCGGGCGTCGGACAAGAAAAACCCAGCCGTCAAAACCCGAACACAACTCACCCTCGTCCGCGCGCTATCCGCGTCGCTCACGTTCGGCGCGAGCGCCGCTAAAGACTGCCTTGGACGCCGTGGCGCCCTCGTGCGCCAGCACGCGCTCCAACGCTGATGCGCGCTACCCCTCGCGCTGGCCGAAGCAGTCGCTATCCTACTCGTCGATGGTCGCAAAATCGTTAATGTTTAACTCGCTCACGGCAGTCTCGAACGCGCCTTCCCCGCGCGGCGCGGCTTCCGCAGGGCAGATCTTGGCGACCCACCACCGGCCTCAGCTGCTGGACTCGCTGCCGACCTCGGGCATGCATCCTCGAGGATCTGCTAGGTTGGCCCCTGGTAGCGCAATGCTGTTCACCCCCGCGTTCCTCTCCTCATCGGGCACCGCGCCGCAATCGCTCGCGCTCTCGTTCGCGGTCTCCGCGAACGCCTCTCGAACAAGCGCGCGTCCGCACTCGCCGTCGCAGACGCTTTCTCGCGCCCTCTTCTGTCGCGGCGATGCGCGTTGCGGGATTGCGAACTGCGCGTCTCCAAACGAGGAGCTGGCGCCTCGCTCGCGGCGCCCCCGAGAAACGACGGGGGCGTCGGCCCAGTCGCCGCCGGTGAGACTCTTCGCCGCTTGGCGGGGGAATGCCCCTGCAAGGGGGCCGCCCGCGACCGCCCGGCGCTCCTCCAGATCGGCGCGCCTGTCCCTGGGGTCGCGGAGGCGGCCGTCCACGCGGGCAGAGAATGGTTCGCGCGCAACCAGGGCAACATAGTAAAAGCTTGCGCGAAGCTGGACCGCTCGAGCGCGTTCAACACGTTGGACTGACGGCCATCCTCAAAACAGTACGCGAGGACTTTCTGGCGCTGGCACCGTGGACGGATTGGCGCTGCGGGGGCCCCATCGCTGCTCTTCCCGGGCAAACAGGCGCTGCGTTCCGAGTGCGGGGTCCAGCAGGGCGACCCAATCAGCGCGCTTCTCTTCTCATTGACACTCCAACGCTGCGCTCAGACGGCGCGCCGCAGCCTCCTGGAGCTCGCCCGGGACGCTCGCCTCGAACTCGCGTTCTGCCACTTGGACGATGCATGCTTGCGGGCGACAGACGGGCCATGGCTGGTTTCCTGCACTCCGTCGTGGCGGGGTTCGCCGCGGTGGGCCTCAACCTTGGGGCTGGGCCAGGCAAGTGCGAGCTGCGGCGGGGGCAGACAGCAACGTGTCCGCGGTCGACTTCCCCTTCGGCTTCCGACTGCGCACCGACGGCTGCTTCGAACTCCTCGGCGCGCCCATCGGGCGCGACGACTTCTGCCGCCGGCGCAAGCTGAAACCCGTGAGGAAGGCCGCGTACCTCTTGGACGCGCTGGCCAGCCTGGGGAACGCGCAATTGGGTGCACCTTCTGCAGCAGCGCGCCTCCTACTGCAATGCCGCTGACGGCGCCGCCGTCCGCCCTCGCGGATGCCCTCCTGGCGATTGACTCCGCTGTCCGCTCCTGGCTGGGGTAGCAGGCCAGCGCCCCCCCCGCAGGGGGCCCCTGGGCACAAGCGCAGCCGAAGCTCAACAGAGGCGGCCCGGGGTCACGCTCCGCCGAGCAGCACTCGCCGGCGGGTAACCTCTCGAGCCAAGAACAACGAGCTCCCAGTC